GCCATCATTGTTGTTTTGGCGGGCCCGGGCTGGATTCGAACCCGCCACCTTAGGTGTATGTGGCTTGCGCCTTAGCCACTTGAGCCACAGGTGCCAAGCCCAGACTTCTTGACAGAACTATGTTTATTCACTCAATACATTCCAACCCACTGAGTAACCTTTCAATTTTGTTTTTCTATAGAACACCTTTGTCCCCCTGTCCAGTCTGGATGGGCTGCTCTCTAGATTGCTGCATGGCTGTTATCCTGTGACTCTGCTTCCAGAAATCCCCTCCACCCTTCCCAGGTATTGCAGCCCTATTTCCTGCATTGTGTTTCTTCCTCTTCCTTGATTTACTCCTTCAAAGTGCTGAAGCACACCCTTCAGGAACTTCCTAAGAAATGCATGCATATGTGGTAAAGTTTTTGAAATCTTACAAGTCTGAAAAATGCCTTTTTTCTACCTTTACCATTTGCTTATATTATATTTAGCTGCATGCTGTGTTACAGGTTGTAAGTCTTTCTCATTTAGAATGTTAATGGCCGGGCTTCGCCTGTGGCTCAAAGGAGTACAGCACCGGCCCCATATGCCAGAGGTGGCGGGTTCAAACCCAGCCCTGGCCAAAAACTGCAAAAATAAATAAATGAATAAAATGAAAAAAAAAATAGAATGTTAATGGCATCATTCCATTTCCTTCTCCTTTTCAGAGGTGTCTATTCAGAACTCTGGTGCCATTCTGATTCCTGGTTCCTTGTATGTGACCTGTTTTTTCTACTCTGAAAGCTATTAGAAATTTCTCCATTTTCCTAAAGCTCTGAAATTGAACACTGTTGTCAATCATATGTATTTACTGTACCAGGCATGCCCTGTTAGTCTGAAACTTAGGTCCTTTGGTTCTAGGAAACTTTCTTGTGTTCTTTCACAGATGATTCCTTCTCTTCCATTTTCTTGGCACTTTTCCTGGAACTCCTATTAGCTATTGAGCCTCCCAGATTGATCTAATTTTTTTTTATCTTTTCTCTCCTGTTATCTATTTCTTTGACTTTTTTCTTCTTTCTGGAGATTCTTCAACTTTACCTTTCAATACTTCTTTTAATTTTTAAGATTTTTCTGCTCTCTTTTCTTTGTCTCCAAAAAAAAAAAAAAAGTCACCCTCAGTAGAATGCCATGGCATCACAGCTCATAGCAACCTCAAACTCTTGGGCTTAAGCGATTCTCTTGCCTCAGCCTCCCAAGTAGCTGGGAGTACAGGTGCCTGCCACAATGCCCAGCTATTTTTTGGTTGCAGTTGTCATTGTTGTTTAATTGGCCGGGGCCAGGCTCGAACTCGCCAGCCTCAGTGTATGTGGCCGGTGCCCTACTCAGTGAGCTATGGGCACCAAGCCTGCTCTCTTATCTTTATTTCCAAGAACTTTCATTCTCCAAATGTCCTCTTTTAAAGAACCCCTCTGATTTGTTCCATAGATGCAGTACCTTCTCTAAATTCTCTAAGGGTCTGGCAGTATATTTTTTGTTTTGTTATATGAATTGTTTCCTGAGTTTCTATATGTTTGATTATTTGTTTTGGTGTCTGCTACATTAAAGAATTTCTTCAAACGTTTGGTGAATCTCATCTGATTTAAGAATGAGATGCTAAAATACTGCCTGGAGATGGTTGGCAGGAGCAGTTCTTATCAACCAGAAGTGTGACTGTATAGCATGACCAGGCAGGACCCACAAAACTCACTGGAGAATCCCCAGATACTAATATCTATAGATCTTTCCTCATAGACTAGTTAATTTTTCCATGGAGAAACCTTCTAATCTCCTGTCTGAGAGTAGAAGCCCACCTACCAGATCCTGGGAAGCCAGCTGTAAAAATTAGTGTTCACTAATTCAACCTTTAACTTTCTGCTGGGGTGAGGGAGAGCTAGAGCAGAAAAGGGGGTCTCTATAAAGATTTAAAACCAATCTTGTTTCTGCCTCCATCCAAAACTTCCAGCTTCAGAAGTAACTGGATGCATCCAATCTTGAACATTGCAAGGTTTCTGCAGAATGAATCAGCTAGCTTCTTCCTGTCTTCTACCCTTGACTTTCTGCATTCCCAGAGTGTGTTACCACTTGATCTGTTGCTTTCTAAAATCTTGTTTTCATCATTTGTTTACTGTTACTTTCTGCCTAACACACATATGCACAAACTTTCTCTCTCTCCCTTTCTCTCTCATTCTTGAGACATAGCTTTCATTAATCCTTTCCTTCTATTTTGATGGAATTCTCAAAGGGTGAGAAGACAAGACAAATGCATGCCTTCCACCCACCATGGAAATCGAAGCCTCCCAACCCATACTTTGTAAATGACTTCCACCCCGACCTTGCATCCTCCACTATCCTACTGACCTGTTACCTCAAAAGTCACCAGTAATGTTTAAATCACCAGTCTAAATTCAGTTTCATTCAGCTCTCAGCCTCCTTGACATTAGACAACCATGATACAACAGAAGACATCCTGGTCCATGAAACCCTTATCTTTTGTATTTCATGATCTTGGTCTCATCTTTTTGTTCTTCTACCTCAATTTTTCATCCTCAGCTCTTCTCTTCATCCTCTTCATCCTATGCACTCTTTTCTTCTCTTTTAATATGTGCTTTGGGTAATCTAATCTATACATATGATTCCCATTACTATCTTTATGTGATGACTCCCAGATTTTTATCTCTACCTACCTCTTTTTTTTTTTTTTTTTCAGACACAGGAGTCTCAAGCTGTTGCCCTGGGTAGAGTGCCATGGCATCATAGTTCACAGCAACCTCCAACTCTTGGGCTCAAGTGAGCCTCTTGCCTCAGTTTTTTTTCCCCCCTACTTTTAGCAGAGACAGAGGTCTCGCTTTTGCTCAGGCTGGTCTCAAACTGTGAGCTCAAGCAATCCACCCACCTTGGCCTCCCAGAGTACTAGAGTACAGGAATGAGCCACCATCTCCAGCCTACCTCTACCTCTTAAATTCTAACTGGCTACCTACTGAACTGAGCCTTCCAAATTCAAGGTCTTCCTCAGGCTTGGTCCAGATCTCCCTTTCTCATCTCCCTCATGCCGTTCCCCCTCCATACCAAAATGTGCAAATGCTCAAATCTCTTACATAAAATGGCTTAATATTTGCATATAACCTATGCTTATCCTCTTGTTTAAATCACCTCTAGATTACTCATAATCCCTAATATAAATATTATACTGTATTTTTTTATTTATATGGAGCTTCTGAATATTTTTGACCTGTGGTTGGATGCATCTGTAGATATGGAGGACCAATTTGTATTCTGATTATTAATTTTTGTACCTATATCTTCTTCAAACTAGAAGCACCTAAAATGTAGAGACTCAGATCTCATTCCCTGTGCTCAATAAATGTGTATCAAATCAATGAATGAGTAAATGATGGACGGCTGAAAATCAGACCAGGTTACTGTGTGTCTATCTTGGCAGTGAACTTAAACATAGAATACATGTGTTTTCCCCCTAATATATCAAGAATAATACATTACCATGTTCAAACATGACACTATAGCTAAATCTTAACAGTGTCATGCAAATGTGCTTGACAAATATACCAACCATGTCGCCTTACCTAGTTTCTTGTTCACATCACTTTGAGACTTTTTTGTGGTCTTTTCAATTTCATCCACAAGCCTATGGCTTTCTGCCACCACACGTTCGGATTGGCACCTTTGGGCCTCTGCTCTATGGTACTGGCTCTTGTTAGCAATGTGCCATTCTGCGAGTAGGAACTTGGGTGGCGATTGTAGTAGTTTGGCCATGTGAGGTTTCCAACGTCCTGATCAAGAACAGACATTTTTTAGAAAAAGTGAAAGCAATTTGTCCTTTTTATGTCAATTTTTATGAATGTGACATATATACCAAAAAGTCTCTAACTCATAATCTGTACACAAAATGTACACCTTTGTGTAGACAGCACCCAGATCAAGAAACAAGAATTACCAGCATTTCAAACCCCTTTCCAGCCACTGGTCTCCACTTCCAGCCCTGCAGGTTAATGATTATCTTGACTTTTTAACACTATAAATTTGTTTTGCTGTTTTTGAACTTAAAATGCATGAACCATATAGCATGTAGTTCACTCCGTATTTGTACAATTCGCCCATATTGCTCATATATTTGTAGTTTGTTCATTCTCATTGCTGTGTAGTGTATCATTATATAAATACAGCAAAATTTAGCTGTCTTTTTTACCGTTCATTAATATTAGGGTTGTTTCCACTTTAGGACTTAAAGTGAGAATACTATGACTATTCTCATACATGTCTCTCCGTGAAAACAATAAGCATGTTTATGATTCATTAGAATTGCTGGGTTATGGGTAGTGTTCTGCCAAACAGCTGAACCAGACACATTTCAAAAAAAAAAAAAATGTGAGTGAATACAATATCTGTAAACCTACAACTGGGTATTGAGCCTATTCCACATATAAAACAATCTAAAAATTCCCCAGGACAAGGAAAAGAATAGTAAGGAGAGCACCTGAGAAGGCAGCCGGCAAAGGCAGGCGGCAAGAGAAAGACTAAAATGGACCCACCTGAGCTGCACGCATCTCCGAATGACTGTAAGAACTGCATTCCTCAGTCAGACCCATCCCTACCCCAGAATCTAAGCACCTGCTCTTGGGGACATTTGGATCTCTGATGCCTTCACACACACAAGGATAGAACCACACTCAGATCTTCACTGGATTGGCACCTCTGCCCACCCAGAGCCCTGGGAACAAGGGGTTTTCCCCTTTTCTTCCTAGTCCAGTCCTTCCTACGGCCTCCCCCAAGCTTCTCTGAATAGGAGTCCCAAAATTTAACCCCAGTGAGGCTGAGACGTAAATTAGGGCTGACTCTAACTGGCCCAGAGTTTTCAGTTAGGGCAGAGGGCTGCGGTTATGGGTCAGTGGGGTTAGGGCCTGGGGTTACTTACCTCAGGGAGGCAAAAAAGTACTACACCAGTTCAGAACCGAAGCCTCCTTACATCAACTGGAGCAGCCGGCTCTGGCGAAAACCAGAGGGAAACGGCGCAGTCTCCGTGGCAACTGGGGACGCGTCGCCTAGACAAAGGGGGCGGGATCCGTCGCTAGCTGCAGGTGCCAAAGTCTCTGCGCAGGCGCGAATTCTGCAGCCCGGAGTACCAGAGAGGAGGAATGTGGCTTTCCACCTGTAGGGCCGGAGACGCTCGGCCATCTCAACTACACGAAGACGCCGCGCGCCGAGCAGGAAACAGCAGCCAAAGCCCAGGGTTGGAGTTCAGGAGACCAGCGTCTAGCCCTGACCCTGCCGCGGGCTGGCTCACCTAGATCTTCACTGTCCCCTCTTGGGTCTCGGACTCCCAGGTGTACGGAAGTGTACAGTGTGGTTGGGCTGGGTGATGCCTCCAGGCTCTCACAGCCACACGGGCACTGAGGGAGAGAGAGACCAAGCCAGAAAGAGACCTGACGCTGCAGGTGCAGGAGGCGCTAGAAACTTCTGGAGTTGTTGAGGCCCCGAGGGTGTAAAAAAGAGGAACCTCGGGGTGGGAGGAGACGCGGGGCCAGGGCGCGCCTGGCCGGAGCGGAGCCGCAGGTATGGGATCCTGGGAGGGCGCTCTGCAGCCCGCGCCTAGTGCCGGCCATCGCTGGACAGACTTCCGCAGCCTGAGCGGTGGCCAAACACAGAGCTGGGAGTCAGGAGCCGGACTTCAAGTTCTCCCATTCTGGCCGTCAGTATCCCCGTCTACAAAACTGAGCGAACTGGAGCTTTCAAACTCGTACAGTGCTTGGAATGTGTTCTGTATGGTTGCAGTACTGGTAAACTAAGGGGACTAGATTTTAACATCGGTAAAACGGGACACTAGTGACCGGGGGCGAGGCGGGGGCGGGGCCTGACAACAATGCAAACTTTGATAAGCAGTTCTCGATAATCACTTCTCAACAATTATTTGTTATTATTACAGTTTAACATTATAAAATTAACTGAAATAATATAAAATTCATATCCTGGCGAAATAGCCACATGGCAGCTGAAAACTGTATATTCCCTTACTGTTCTCCCGCCCGTTCGTGCATTCTTTCCAAAAATCGGGACTTTTTAAAACGCCTTGGGACGCGGGACAAATCGTTAGAGATAGGGACTGTCCCGCCAAAAACAGGACATCTGGTCACCCTATGGTAAACACTAACAGGTATTAGATTAAAAAAAAAAAAATTACATGGCTTAAGGAAGGAGGAGTAAATAAAGATTGGAAAAATCGAGGTAGGTCCTCATCTACATAGCCCAAAACACAGAAACTAGGTATTCAAATCTCCAGACCAGGTGCTAAATACCTTCACTATCTCTTTAACCAGCCAATCGAAGGCAACCTTTCTCCGAGAGCAACCAAAGAGGAGGATTTATCTGTTCCCCTCCCATATGCGACGCGAGTGGTTGAGAGAGCCAGGAGAGTCTCCCAGCTTTATGAATATTATTAAATACGCCGCTGGGCCAGTGGCAGGCGAGAGGCTGTTTTGCATATTCATATTCCTCACTCTTTGGAGGCGGGGCTGGCTAAGTAGAGGCTCTGTCAATGCCCCGCCCCGGAAGAGCCCTAGTTTCCAGTTCAGGGTTGGAGCTCTTGGCTTAGTGCTCGGGTATCCTAACGTGGGAAGGTGAGTCCGGGCGGACCTCGCCGAGTCAGCCTTGGCGCTGCATTCCCCGGGACACCTGAGAAAGTGGGCCTAGCGCCCGGCCGCCCGGCCCCATCTGGCCGCCACCAGCGCGGAGCTGGAGGGCTCCGGGGCAGAACGCCGTGGGCGGACTTCGGGAGATGCGAGCTGTCTGGGGTCTCCTCCGCTTGAGCTAGTAGGGTGGCGGCGTGCTGGGTCTGAAGGAGCCGCAGTCCTGACAGAATGAGCCACCCAGCGTGGCTTCTGCGATTTCCTGAGTAAACCCTGGAGAGCCAGACCTGGAGGTTGCTCCCCAGTTTACAGAAGGGGCAGTTTCTTGGAACTGTTGGAAACATGGTAAAATTGGCAAAAGTACATGAAATTCCATATATATGTATAAAAATAATAGGTCATTGTATTTTGCATCATAAAACAAATTTACTACTCGTTAGAAACACGTGACAGCCTCACATAACAACTGACCCCGAAACTCCGGTCTCACACCATGCCTCTGCTGGTGCTCTGCCCTTTGAAAGGCCTGTATTTGAATAGTGTTGAGTTTCTTGATATACTTAAAAAAAACTCTAAGTGAAATATGTTTGTAATTTTCCTTTATAATAATAATATTATTATATTAATAATATTAATAATCCAGTCACTAGTCTCCACTTCAGGCCCTGCAGGTTAATGATTATCTTGACTTTTTAACACTATAAATTCTATAAAACACTAAAAATATACATTTTTCCCAATTTTAGTATCAGGTATATCCAGATGAAGTAGAATGATTTTAAAGTATTTCTTCTTTTTCTATTGTCTATAAGATTTGGCATGATCTGTTTTTTTGAAATTATCTTCTATTTTCATTTATAAATATTAGTTGTCTATTTTTTGAGACTTTGAAAAAGATAAGAAAAGACTTTGAAAAAGATAATAAGAAGTTAACTGATGACTCTATACTGAACTGCAAGAGTCAAAGCATTCTATGATAGACATACTCTTATCTGACAATGTGAATGTTACTTTTTTGCAGTATTATTACTGCTCAATATTTGTTGCAGCAATCATCTGATTTCTTTTGTGAATGTATTTATCTTCATTCTTTTTTTTTTTTTTT